TTGCTCCTTGTTCAATACTTTAATTTAATCTTGGCTCTATTCCTAGAGCAAAAAGAAAATAATTTATGGGATAGGAAGAATGAAAGAACTACTGCTCTGTTACTACAAAGCATAACCTTGAGTAAAAAGGGTTATGGACTGACCAGCAGAAATGATGGGCTTGCCTCTTGCTGAGCCATAACTCATTACCAAAGCTGCTGAAGGAAGGACAAAAGAAAGGCTATATGACAACTCTTATCTGTGATAAATCTTAAAAACATTTACCACAGATCCCCATTTTCTACCGATGCAGTAAGACTGACAGAAAAAGATTTATGTTACCAATACATGACCAAGTTTTTTTATTTCCCTCTCAGTTCTTAGAAGAAGTCTACACAAGAACATGAATGAGTTCTGATCAGCGTATCTTCAGCATATTTTAAGAATATTTCATGTGGAGAAATACTATGGGAAGTTGGCAATTTGCTACTGTCAGGAAAAATGAAGCCCCATTATATTTCTTGCAATAATGTTCTAAGACACTTAATGCTGATGAAACCATGCAAAATTCTTTGCTCCTGATCAATGTTCATTTTGAAGGTAAAAGCTACATTATTCTGGGATTTTTTTCAGAGATAAATCAGTATCCTGATAAATTCAGTACCAGTTGAGAAAGCATATTAAGACAAGCTTCAACCAATTTTTAAAAGATACTAGTCTGTACCTGTTGCCACAGTCATATGAATTTTTATGGGACAGAAAACAGTCTTTTATCTAACATTGCTTCAAATGTCTAGTAAAGACCTATTTCAGAATTTAGAACAAAAGCTGAACACACACTGAAACAATTTTTTAAAATTTAACTTTAAGAAGTAAAACAGTTGAGTACTGCAATACGTCGCATGCAATTTGTTCATTTTGGTAAAAGCAAACCACATACAAAGAGGAAGTTTTAAAATGAAAAAATATATATAGTACTCAGCTGAAACCCTGAAAAACAAAAATACTCAGCACACACTCCTACTTCAAGAGATTTTTTTTATTTAACAACTTCCCACCAACCTTATTTACAGCATCCACAAGCGCTCTCATTTCCTTCTCAATATCACTGACAAATTTTAAATCCTTCCTGTAATAAAGAATTATATACAATGTGAATGAGGTTAAAAAAAGAAAAAAGAACTGCAGCCTTTACTTGCCACATATACAAAACATTGATAATTCACCTTGACTTTTCTTAATGCAATATGACAACTGTGCTCTCTCCCATTTAAATTTCATTTCTTCACCTTAGTGATTGCAGCCTGCTCAACAGGCTGCAAACTTGAGGGGAAGCAGAGGGAGGGGGAAACAAATTTTCAGATTTTCTCCATTTACTTTGAACAAAAAGAAAATCAAGAGTTTTTTCTGCAAGTATGTAAATGTGAGAACAGTTTAGAATGTACAAATTATCCTACGTGGCATCAGGAGTAGTTATGTTTTCTGTTAAGTAAGTCAAATGATCTCTCTGAAGGAGAGAGAGTCAAAATCACCACTGTCAATATTTCTGTGTTGTACCTCCCACTAATGCATCTCAGCAGCTAGGGTAGACTTTAGCAATTTAAGACTACAAAATAGCTAGAAAGAACAAGTTAGTAAAATATTTAAATTGATAAAACCATGATATGATGTGCGATATTCTGCTTTGCAGGGGTTTCAGTTTAGGAACCTTTTGTATGAAAGTCAGTGCTAAGCAACCTTAACTGTATATTAGCCATGTTTGTTTGCGAGTGCGTTTGCCTACTTATTGAAATGGGAATAATGAGACAAACATTAAATAAAGATCACCTCAGTAGGAAGGAAGGTCTGCATGAGGCTTCCTGAGTATAAACCTCCCCTACTCTACTACAGCCCTGTCCTCCCTAGTTGAAGAGGTTATAGAGAAGTTAGTAGCAGAACTGAGAAGAGGACATGTACCAGCTTTGGTATAGAAGGGGAAAGACAAAAGAGCTCCTGCAAACTTTCATCTAGTGTGTGATGCTATAATGGGCTCCTTTGGGAGTGAAGTAAGCCAGTGAAGCATTCTCAGTGGAAAGGAATTTAGCCTGAAAAATAGTTCTGAAAAGCGTGAACTACCTTTTTTGTTTCACTAACTGCTCCAAAAGACATCAGGCACGTAACTCATTTAGGACCTTTTGTAAATACCACTATATACCTATCTGCATCTTTAATTATCTATATGCCTTCATAAGTCTGGTCTGTGGATTTTAAAGCATGGCAGAAAACAGAACGTTAAAACGGAAGCCTAGCTCAATCTTATCCTGTGGTACAACAGAGGACACCCTACACTAAAGCGGAAGGGCTAATTACATATTTATTTCCAGAAAAGATATGCCTCAGGTTATTAAAAGATCCTAATGAACAAAATTAGCCTGGAGAGGGGGTGCATAAGTAATATCTAGATAATCTTTGTATATATATACATACAAATATCAATATAACTATATATAATTTACATTCTGTGTGTGTTTGTGTTCCTATCCAACCATGGCAGCTCATACCTTGCATCTTCTTTTAGAATCTCACTGTACTTTGGTCCAGAAGAACGGACATTAAAAGGGTCAGAATTATCATCAATTTGAAGAGCCTCAGCAAGTCGCCTGAAAGACAGAAAAGCACTTCATATGTATTTAAAGAAAACTCTTCAGTGACAAAATGACTCACTACAAAGAAGGATTAGCACTACAGAGTCAAAGCTGGTGAAGGTAAAATTGATGAATCTGAAAGTATTTTTAATAAAAACATGTTTGAAAGGTTAAGTTAATTATGTCTGATCACCCAAAATAGAATGTTTCTAGAACCAATGTAGACAGTTTGTTAGGTTTTTTTTTTTTCAGATGTGATCTTTTTCACAAAGCCAAGCTACAGGAAGTTAATTCTTCTATTAAAAAGTGTGCAGTTACCACGCACCTGTTCCTTTCAAGGGCCAAACATTCTTCATCACATTGCAACCTAGATTATTTTAAAACAAAATACAAAATTAGTATTTAAGGTTTAAAAGTTTGTAAATGCTATCAGTTAAGATTACCTGTACAATCTCAAAACAGCCCCATGTATTAGGAGACTTAAAGTCCTCCTCATCATCTCACACTGAAAGCCTATGAAACAGGAGAAAAGACCTCAGCATTTATGAACACCAGTCCAGTGCCATAACCCCTTGCAACCAATCCTGTTTCCACAGTCCTCTGCCTCATTAACTTTTTGTCCTGTATACCAAATGAAGAAATACTATAGAACAACTAGCATAGGAGTATGTATTTTGATACCTGCAGTATCTATGCACAAGGTGTCTAAATTAAGATTGCACAGACAACCTTAAGAAATCATAAATTAGGAAATGCTCGAACTTCAAAGATCTTTTAACATGGTTTTCTGTAAATAAGCAGAATGTCATACTTTTCATATGCTTTTCAACAACATACCTGAAGTCTAAGTTACCAAGTACTACTGTATTCATTGCAGTGTGATCTCCACTAAGGCATATGAATTATGTTCATGCAGTGAAACAGTGAATCCAATCTGTAAATCAAATCTCACTGATTACAACAGATTTAGATTGTAGGCTTCAGTCTGATACAAGCTAAAAGCATTTGTTCAGAAGAGGTAAGGATGTAATAATCTCTGAAAGACTAATAAAGGGTTAAGGGCTCCTTTTGTTTCTCAGACAAGCAGTCCCAAACTATTTAAAAGGTATAGTATAAAACAGGGCCAGGTTATTTGATTTCAATCCCTCCAATCTTTCCCGTTTTTCACAATTCTGGTGAGTAAAGGGTCACAGATCTTGACCTCTGTTTAGGATTTATAAATGAGAGCGTACGGCTTCCATCATTCTACTATCATCTAATTAAGCATGAGGACCTGAGGATCACTCTGCCAAATTTTTCATGCAGAGCTAAGATCTAATTGAGTTTTGAATCTCTCAATGCTGGCATGAACGAAGAAGAGCTCATCTGAAAGATGAAAATACCCTAGTCACAATTCAGGGGGAATTTCATTGCAATAAAATGTAATAGTTTGTGATCCAGTGATTAGACTGAATGACTGAATGGTCCCTTATAGCTTTAAATGATAAACCTAAAAAACAGCAGAATGAGTTGTCATAAAACTGAGCTGAATACGCTATACCCATTATTTGAGACTCTAGGAATAAAATAAAAGTAAGACTAACAGATCACCCTTCTATAACGCACAGGGATCAGGGTTGGTCAAGAGTCTCACTTCTGTCAATACTTCCAGAAGTAATGGCTTCACCATTAAAAAAGACCATGAATTTTAAATCAGTTTATGCCTGGGTGATGGCCACTATGGGTTGAGCCCCAATGGTTACCCATTTCACTACCTTAATACAGAATCTGGTTTGGGATTATGAACAAGGACATTAGTATTTTCTCCTTTTTATACATGAGATGGAGCATTAACTCATATGTTTTGAGGCTAAAATGAGACTGCTGATGCCCTTAAACCGAGGGTGAACAATTATTTGGGCTGGTGGGCCACTTAATGAGTTCTGATGACCTGACAAGGGCCACACCTCTCTCCCTCTCTCCCATTTCCAACGAATACAGAAGCCTGAACCTTGCCACAGCTGTAGTACGCCCTGCTGCCCCCCAACTCCATGCCAAGAGCCCCAACCCAGAAGCTGCTGGCCACGTTTGGGCAGCTGTGGACATGGCCAGCAGTTGCTGAGTCCAGACTTGGGAAGGGGTTGTGCTGTAGCTGCTGGTATGTTCGTGCTTCCGTGCTGGTGGCAGCTCCAGCCAAGAGAGAGCGCATGCAAGAGCAAGAGTTTGGCACACTGGATGCAGGCCCAGCTGCCTGGCGCCATGTGGCTGCCAGAGCCACCACCTGCCTGTGGGCCAGATCCATTCACTGCACAGAAGCCTACCCATAGGCCAGATCCAATCAGTTCATGGGTCAGATCAGACCTGCGGGTCGAATTTTCTGACCCCTGCCTTCAACTGTTAAAGCCAAGGGACTCTGAAGTAAAAACTTGTTTCACCAATACACTGGTCTATCAGAAGCTTAGTATGCCTGTGTACTTTGTTTTCCTGCGGCCATATAGCTGAAGGCAAGTAAAACTCAGGGGCATCTGAACCCCAAGCCTCCTGGGCTTGGGCTTACATGTAGGATGCCCGCCAAAGAACTTGGAAGCATCTGAAGCCTCAGGCAGGGGTGGAGGATGCCTGCTGGTAGCAGGGCCACACGTAGTTCTTGAATGACTCACAGATTTGGAATTGATTTGGCTGATTTGACTTGGGAGACAAAACATTTTCCTTAAAAAAACAACAACTTTGTTTTCACTTCTGACCAAAACCAACTGCAGCAGCACAGTAATACAACAACTGGTGAAGTAAGGAAAAGAAGTTCTTATGAAGTCTTAGACCAATGATGAATTTCATAGAAGTTCTTATGATGCCATCTGAGGGAAGGCAAGTAAAGAGATTCTTTGCCTCCACCATAACAACAATTACATTTCAAACAGATCAGTACCAGGTCAAATACCTTGGGTAATTTTAGTTTTTGTAATGTGACAACCTCCCACTATAGGAAAATTACAAGAATCTAGATGTTTTGCTGAGTCATAGGAGCGTAACAAACTACATGATACCTGGCAACCCTATGCCTCAATTTTTGAAAGCCAAGATATGGAGGGTCTGTTTTATTTTTAAAAATTGTTTCTATTTTTGTTTTTATATTGGTTTGCTTGATGATTGTTAAAAAGGATCAATTTCAAAAACATCACAAAAAAAGCAAATATTACCATTTTTACTCTAATAAGAGATGACCCTGAACAAAAAATTACCCCCCCCAATAATTACATTTTATATATGGAAAATGTATAAATGTTATAATTTTCCAGGTGCAGAATCTAATTAGTTGAGTGTTATTTTGAATTCATCCCCCTCCGATTGCTACAACAGGGAAAAAATAGTGGCTGATGAGGACAGCTGGCACACTTGCCCTCTGCGCCTAAATTTCTTCCCCCCTATGGCTTTCCTACCTCCTCTTACTGCCAGACCCTGCTTAGGCTCTGTTCCCTCCCCAAGCACACTGTGGAGGTGAGCTGCATGTGACAGTTAGGAGTGGGGAAAGAGACAGAAAGGAAAGCAGAACCTGCAGGGGGAATAGGAGACTACTGTGGGTCTGACTCTGGCCCAAACCGTAACTGCTGCAAATTTCAGCACAGGCACTCCATAAACACACTTCTGAGCATCACTTTTGTATCTACTTATACATAGTACAAACTGTGCATGATATTAGTCCACAGCCAAAAGGCTCATGACCTATCATATAGTTCATTGAGCTGGGCACAACAGAGTCAACAGCACTGCAAGCCATGGTGACCTCACAGCCAAGCAGTGCCATAGCAATGAAGTCTGGCACCCAGGGCAAAGCCCGCAGCAGCAGCCCACCTCCACCCCATGCACACATCTGGAGGACGCATCCCGCCATGCTTGCCTGGGAGTGGCAGGAACCGCCCCCACCCCGTGAGCCGCTCGCAGCTCTGTCCCATGCCCCGCCCTGGCTGAGCAGTGCCTGTTGGAGCCCCTTCGCTTTGGTGCATGGGGCAGTCACCCCGCTTGCCCCCCACACTTAAATCAAATAAAAGCTATGGCACTGCAGCCTAGCACTGCTCAGTATGTGTGTGTGTTCCACATGCCCTCAGAAAGAAGCCTTGTGGTAATTAGCACCCCCACTCATGACTCAAACTGTTCAAACTGATATGTAGATGAGGCGCAGGGTTGCCTGGTCTGTCTGAACCCAGAGAGGATGTGGCTGCACTAATCACATGCAACAGGCAAGGGGGGGG